CTGGTGGTTACCTGCGCGCCTCGGCAGGAGAGGCCTCCTAAGTGAGGAAGCGTGCCTCACCCTGGGGAGAGCGCTGTGGGGCTCTCCCTGTCCTTAGGGCTTACTCCTGATTACCCCTGGCTGGGGCTTTGCAGGGAGGCTTGGAGGGGGACAATACGTGCTGGTGTCAGGCAGGAGTCCAGACTTAGGTGAAGGCAGTTGGAGGGAATTTCGGCGGAGAAAGGGGGCAACGTGTCAGGGTTTTTTTCCCAAGAAGCTTTGCGTCGAGACGCTTTGTTTTATTTCCAGACAAGTACTCGTCGCAGTTTGGTGGCGGAAGCCAGTATGCCTATTTCCATGAGGAGGATGAGACTAGCTTCCAGCTGGTGGATACGGCACGAACGCAGAAAACGGCGTACCAGAGGAATCGGATGCGATTTGCACAGGTAACGTGCTTTCAGAAACGGTCTCAGAGGAGAGCTTCAGCAGCACAGAATTATTTTGCAACTGACGTCCTTTTTTTTGCCTTCCCTTCGTTTCCACAGAGGAACCTTCGGAGAGACAAGGACCGTCGGAACATGCTGCAGTTCAGCATGCAGACGCTGCCAAAGAGTGCCAAGCAGAAGGAGAGGTGAGGCCTCAGACAGAAGCACACCATACTTGGGTTGGAGTGTGTGAAAATACCGTTGGTAAATTTGTGAAGTTACTGTAATAGAACGGACGAGAGCCAACAGCAAAGAAGAATTTCAGGATACTTCAAGTCTGATGTTTTGCTGTCGTGCCGGTAGTTATAAGCGTGGGTTTCAAACAGCTGTTGCATTTAGAAAGATTTTTTTAAGTGATGTTTAGAAAGTAAACGTGACGTTTTAAAGCAGAGCGTACCCTTTCCAAAAACTGCGTTGCAGTCTCTGGAGATGAAACTATTTAAAGAGCTGCCCAGAGTAAAGAATAGAGCTTTAAATGCCTTGGGCATCGTGGTCAACAGACAGCTCAGCAAAAGTTTCAGTAGCTTGGTGCCTGAAAGTGTTGCTTCTCTGGTGGTAATTTGGAAGCGTAGAAATGGTGGTGGCACATAGGAATCGAGCACTTCTCATCATGGCTTTTCTCGTATTTGTCATTGCAGAGATCGTTTGCGCCTGCAGAAGAAGTTTCAGAAACAGTTTGGAGTGAGGCAGAAATGGGACCAAAAGTCACAGGTAAACTAGGAAGCTTTCTGCCCCCTGTGTTGGTTTGATTTCTCTGGCTGCGCTCATGGGGCAGCTTCTCTTGCACAATTCCTGACGTGCTGTGCCTCCGTTTCTCTCTGTCCTGCCTCTGGCTGCACAGCAGAAGCCTCGTGACTCCTCTGTTGAAGTCCGCAGTGATTGGGAGGTGAAGGAAGAGATGGATTTCCCTCGGCTGATGAAGATGCGCTACCTGGAGGTGTCGGAGCCGCAGGACATGTGAGTTCCTAAAGCAGCAGTGAGCTTGCTTCCAGAACTGAGCAGGTTTTCGGAGAGCAGGAGGGCAAGGGTCTCCCGACCTGGTCCCGGTGTTCTCATTGAGGTACCCAAGGGGAGGCGGGGGGTAACAGGACATGCAACAGGCCCCTCAGTCCCGTGTGGTTCATGGGTGGTGATGTCAAGATGGTCCTCTTACCTTTGCAGAGAGTGCTGTGGAGCCCTAGAATACTATGACAAAGCCTTTGACCGCATTACAACAAGGAATGAGAAGCCACTGAGGAGCATTAAGCGCATCTTCCATACCGTCACTACTACTGATGACCCAGTCATCCGAAAGGTAGGTCTTCTGGTTTGCAAAACCGGATAGTGTTTTTCTCTGTGTTAAGAGACCAGCTGTACCCATAACACCAAAGTTAGGAGAAGGGCGGAAAAATTGCAGATCCCTAAGCTTGCAAAGGAAAAGAAGCATTAGCTGGCATCAATATTTATTTTTCTTCAGTCCAAGGCAGATCTAGATTAATGCAAAACTAGGAATACTGGCCAGGGAATAGCTGTAATTCCAGAAAGGCAAGCAGACCGGTACTTGAGCTGTGTTAGGAAAGAAGCTTCCATGTCAGAGATGTGGTTCTTGAGGTTTCTGCTTTTGGAGATGAGGAAGGCTCGGAGATTTCTCTGTGACCCGATCAGCAATAAGGAGCCATGCCTTTTCCCAACAGAGTTCACATTTTCTGGTGGGTTTCTTACTATTTCCTTGTTTGGGTGGGGGCGGGCCTGGGTTGCCGGGTAGTTCCTCACACTTTGTCTAGCAGTTGGTGATGTACCTGCCAGTCTGGCTTCCTCAGCGTGGGAGAAGAGATTTCGTGATCTGGTTTGCTAACGCTTCTGGTCTTGGCCAAGGAAAGGATGTCTGTGCTTGTTGCTGAAATACAGTTTTCTCCTCCTCCTGTATCCGTAGCTGGCAAAGACCCAAGGGAATGTGTTTGCCACAGATGCCATCCTGGCTACCCTGATGAGCTGCACTCGCTCTGTCTATTCCTGGGACATCATTGTCCAGAGAGTTGGATCCAAGCTTTTCTTTGACAAGAGGGACAATTCTGATTTTGGTGAGGAAAAGGCCTGAAAGGAATTGCTGCTACGGTAGCTAGAGAGTCTCGTTTTCTTTTTGCCTTTTTTTTTTTTTTTGAGTTTATTCTATGTCTCGGTGTCCAGACTGAGACACCTGGAACAAGCTGGTTACAGCGCTAGCAATGGGGGTGACTTCAGTATTGATCTGCTCTAGTGTGGGGCTGGGGACTCGCTGAAGCTGACATTGTTACTCCCTTGAGTATAACCACTTGTGTCTGGTTTTCTTCCCAGACCTCCTGACTGTGAGTGAAACAGCCAACGAGCCACCCCAGGAAGAGGGCAACTCTTTTAATTCTCCGCGCAACCTTGCCATGGAAGCTACCTACATCAATCATAACTTCTCCCAGCAGTGTCTAAGGATGGTAAGGTTGCGCAGTGCTGGTGAGCAGGGTCTGTGTTTCAGAGAGTCTCAAGAAGAGACTTCATTAAGGCTGCTTTAATACAGCACAGAAGTCTTTTAATTGACAGAGGTATGTTACACTGATGCTCTTTCAGTTTTGAAAGAGGTGGGATTACTTCTGGTGAGCAATGTAATTTTGTTGTAGAAAGATTTTTCACCTTTATTCCCCAAAGAAGAAAGCCCACTCCCACTGGTGAAGCAGGCAGGCTTCAGAGTACGCTCAGTGAAGCTGAAGTGCCGCTTGCAGCAAAGTGACTAATGTGAAGATGAGGTTTCTCGTCAGCTGTATTAATATTATGGCACTTTTCTATATGAGGGAAATTAGCTGCTGTTGCTGTAAGAAAATATTTATCCAGTAGGGGAGAGCTCCCTCAGTTTTTCTTGTTTGTTGGTTGGTTGGTTTTTTTTTGTTCCCTAACGTGCCCTTCTGTTTTCTTCTGCAGGGAAAGGAGAAATACAAGTTTCCCAACCCAAACCCCTTTGTGGAGGATGACATGGATAAAAACGAAGTAGCCTCTGTTGCATACAGGTATGTCGATGTCTCTCTGGTGCCCTGGTTTGGCAAGGGGGCAGGATGTCAGTGTGATAGGAAGGCAGAATGAGGCAGGAGTGTTACTGATAGAAGCTTTACCATGAGAGGGGCTGCTGAACACCCTCACAGTGAACAGATAAGAGGAGGAAAGGATTTTGTTGAGTGCTTGCATGGGAGAAAAAGGGTCAGAAATAACCAGCTGGATTGTTTTTTTGGCAGATACCGAAGGTGGAAGCTAGGAGATGATATAGATCTCATTGTCCGATGTGAACATGATGGGGTGATGACGGGAGCAAGTGGAGAAGTGTCCTTCATCAACATCAAAACACTGAACGAGTGGGATTCCAGGGTGAGGAAGAACGAGAACCCAAAGCTAGCTCTGCCTGCCTCACTGCTGCCTGACACGCCAGGTACAGCAGGCAAGAGGAGACCGGCATCTGGCAGTGTCCTCCGGGTGGTTACGTTCCACCGAAGGCCCTTAACTTTGCTGGGCCAGCGGTGCTGACGGGATCCTCCCCTAGATGCGAGGTAGCTGGTCTGAACCTATTCGGTGCAGTAGCCAGTCTGTTCCCATGCTTCCCTCGTGAACTCTTCCCTCACAAACTTCCCTTCCCAACCTGTGCCACAAGTGTTGGCCAGTCCCCACCATCCCCTTTTCTCCCTTCCCGGTGCAGGGCCTTTCCCTGTAGGCTGCTGTTCACATTCCCTCGTATAGTATCGTAAGGTAGACAGAAGAAACTTCTGTACGTGATGTCGAGATGGCTGAAGAGGTGGCTGCTGCTGGCTGGTGAGGCTGACCCTAGCTTTGATTCTCCTCTCAGTATTGCAATGGAGTAGACTGGCGCCAGAAGCTCGACTCCCAGAGGGGAGCTGTGATTGCCACAGAGCTGAAAAACAACAGCTACAAATTAGCCCGCTGGACGTGTTGCGCGCTGCTGGCTGGATCAGAGTACCTTAAACTCGGGTAAGACAGGATTTTCACACCAAACCGTCTTCCAGGTGCATTTTCCATGATTTAACCCAGTATGTGTCAAAGTGAACCATTTGTAGAATGAGTAATCATAAAATCGCCCCGTGTTTTGAGTGGCCGAGAGGGGAGAGGCTGCAGTGAGCGTGCCGGTCTCCGGCGTAAGCCACTTCCTCGTGGTGCCAGGCTGCTGTGCCCTCTGCTGTCGCCGACCTGGTGAGACCTCACGCACGTGGCAGGCAGGCAGCTGCCCTGGGTCTTGGCCTGTTTGCCAACATCACCAGCAAGGGAAATGAAGGCAGCAGCTGTGCTGCCTGTCAGGAATTTGATTGATATCTTCAGCGTCCTGCTAATGAGAAATTGGGTGGAGGGGAGGTATCGCAACAGCCTGTTTCAAACTGGCAGCTTAAAATCAATCACGTCTGTGCCCCGCTGTCGAGGGCCTGTATGAGCTGCTGTGTGCTGGCCGCTGCCAGGCATCCAGCTTCCCAGGCGTCCCAGTCACGAGTGTTTTTCCCTTGGTTTCTCTGCACAGTGCCTGCCCAGCCGGGGACCCCTCGGGGCGGGGCTCCCACTGGCAGCTTTCACAGCAGGCGGCAGGGCTGATGCACGAAATACGTACATTTTTTGCTGTCGATAATGGTCAAGAAGCATTTGCTGACTTGGTTCTGCTGGTTCTGCAGTCCTGGGTTCCGTCCTCAGCTGCGGGACTGATGCATTCGCATCTAGTTTGAGTCCAGACGCCCTGCTGATCGTGCTGTGGCTTCATTTTTGTCTGTGGGACCAATTCTTCTTTGTCTTCTGTACCCCTCCATCTGATTCGGGGTGGTGGCACACTACTGACTGCCAGCCAGGAGATACTCTTAGCTTCCAGTGTTGGGAGTATTTGGGTTTCTCAGCCCTGAAAACAAAGCTTGAGATGATCCTGCTGCTTTTCTGGGTGGTGTTCTGCTGGCTGGGCTTATCCCTCCTGGCATCCCTCGAGTTTCTCCTTGCCCCCCCAGGTATGTGTCCCGTTACCACGTGAAGGACTCTGCCCGCCACGTGATCCTGGGCACGCAGCAGTTCAAGCCCAACGAGTTCGCCAGCCAGATCAACCTGAGCATCGAGAACGCCTGGGGCATCCTGCGCTGCGTCATCGACATCTGCATGAAGCTGGACGAGGGCAAGTACCTCATCCTGAAGGACCCCAACAAGCAGGTGATCCGCATCTACAGCCTGCCCGATGGCACCTTCAGCTCTGACGAAGACGAGGAGGACGAGGAGGAAGAGGAGGAGGAGGAAGGTTCGTAGAATGCTTGGTGATGGTCTCCTGGTCTGGGTGAGGAGAGGTGGCCCGGGATGAAGATCAGACCTGGAGGGTGAGGGCAGCGGGGCTGGAGGGTGCCCGGTCCCGAGGGTGGGAGCTGGTGGTGGAAGAGGGGTGGGAGACGGAGGGGGCGCTCGGTGAGGTGGGGATGGGGGTGAGGGGCCCCTGCATGGACAGGGGGCCGGGACTGGTTTCGCTGGGGGGCGGTGGTGTTTCCTCCGGCGCTCCCCCTG